TCCTCTCAATTGTGACAATGCTTGAATGTCGAACAATGTTCTCATTAGGAGAAAAGGAATACTTTGGCAATCTGAAGAAGCAGAGAAATATAATAGCATGTATATTCCGTCGGATGGACGGAACACGCGCATAACCTGCTAAAAAATCGGAGGGTTGAAAGACTAATATTTACAAGTCGTCCCCATGCGCCTTTGAAGTGCAAATGGTTCAATTAAATGAATTAGTTACACAGGCATATTACTTTCATTATACAGGGTGAATCACGTAACATGATCACCTTGAATTATTCTCTCTTTAGTGCATGGATCGAAATTTTCTTCTTCAAGCTCAGCTGCAATTCTTTATCGATGAACCTATAATTTTCTTTACGGATGTTGAAACAATGTTCAAAATGGCGCCCTTCGGTTGTTATAAATATTTCTTTCTATGACATCTGTATTTATTTTAAAGAAAACTGAAGGTGACTGAAAGCTTTGAAAAAAAAAAAAAAAACAACTGATAGAAAATATACTATCGTCGTTTTGAAGAACTCATATTATGCAGCAGAAAAAAAATTACGATCGATCCACTGGCCCACAGCTTCTGCATGATAAGTTTTGCAGTAATGATGACTGGACCAAGTAATCCCAGGGGATCGAAAATTCTTGCAATTTCCGAAAGAATCATCCTCTTCGTGATTCTTGTGTTCGTGGTGATGGATTTCACTGTGTACACTATGGAGTCTTGTTGCGAATTCCAAGCGACTCCAAGTGTCTTCAATGTTTTGTCATCGTGAGATTGAAGTTTCACGTTGACATGACCGTCAGGTAGTCCCTGGAGAAGCGTAGGTGCGTTCGATGCCCATTGACGTATGCTCAGACCTGCTCGTTGCAGAAGGTCGATGAGTTCGTTCCTGAGAGTCATAGCTTCTTGGAGGGTGGCTGCACCTGTCAGTAGGTCGTCCACGTACAAATCGCGTTTCAAAACACTTCCTGCATGTTGGTAGCGATGTCCTTCGTCGTCTGCCAATTGTCGAAGGCAGCGAGTGGCCAAGAATGGAGCGGGTGTCAATCCGAAGGTAACAGTGTTGAGCTGAAACGTTTGCACTTCACCACTTGAATCCGTCCAAAGGATTCGTTGAAATTTTCGATCTTCATCGCGCACTGAGAACTGTCGATACATTTTCTCGATGTCACCACTTAACACATAATTGTGGAGACGAAATCGTAGTATGTGCGACACCAGATCGTCTTGAATGGTTGGACCGACCATAAGGGTTTCGTTGAGAGAGATCCCAGAGTCGGTTTTTGCCGAACCATCGAAGACTACACGAAGCTTCGTCGTCATGCTGGTTTCCTTGATTACTGCATGATGAGGTAAAAAGAAACCATCGGTATCTGTTGGATCTTGTACTAGTGACATGTGTCCGAGGTCCAGATATTCCTGCATGACTGCTGTGTAGCGTTCCTTGAAGAGAGAATCTTGCTTGAAACGGCGTTGAAGTGCGTTGAACCGTTTCATAGCTCTGGCGCGTGAATATCCTAAGCGCTCTTTGTTCTCATTAAATGGAAGGGCAACTATGTATCTTCCAGTAACGTCTCGATGTACGTGTTGCTGAAAGTGTTTCTCACAGGCCCTTTCTTCCAAGGAGAGATGAGGGGTTGATGGTCCCTCTTCGATCTCCCAGAATTGTTTCATGTCGAATTCCAATCGACTGAGTTGACAATTCTTTGATGCTGCATTGTTGTCTCGGCTCGTTGTAGACTGTTCAGCGTCGCTGGACCAGTGAGATGTTTGATGACATCTGTCGTTTTCGAGGTGGATGTCCGTGGAGGTTGAAGACTTCTCGTTGTCCCAGCTTGTTGGAGACAGGATGCTACCTCCAAGAATCCATCCTAACAGTGTCTTCTGAAGAATAAGGTCCGGCCCTTGTGGCGGCGACAGCTTGATTTGTCCGACGCTGAACAAGGCCAATGTTGGACCAGTCCCAAGCAAAAGGTCGATAGGTGCGGGCCTATGGAATTCTGGATCAGCAAGTTTCAGATTTGCTGGAATCTGGACAGAATTCCTGTTAATGGGCTGCTGTGGCTCCATCTCCGAAATACTCGGGATGACGAAGAAATCGAGCTTTTTCTCCCATCCGTTGATGTTAGATCGTATCGATGTCGTCACGATGTGGCTGCTTGATGTTGTCATCTGGTTGAGCGCTCCAATCGGGATGGAGCATCTTCTTTGCTTCAGATGAAGTCTGGTCGCCAATTTTTCAGACATCAAATTGGCCGTTGAGCACGTATCTAATAGGGCCCTGCAACAAACTAAATTCTTTAAGGAGTCACATACCTTTAGCCTTGCTGTTGTCATCAACTCGGTGGATGCTGTGCGAGCTGAAAGGGAAGTGCATCCGCGACTTCCTGGCGTCGAGCGTCATGTTGCGCTGGTGACTGCCGCAGCTGTCGTCGATCCTTGCTTCTTCGGTGGCGTCGGTGATCTTCTCCCACTCCTCGGCAGATGTAGGAGTGTGTTGTGTCCTAAGTTGCAGATCCTGCACTGGGACGAAGTACACTCTTGGGTTGAATGTCCAGTCCGAAGGCACTTAAAACACAATTTTTCCTTCCTTGCCGCGTTGATTCTTTCGCTGACGGATAGCGCGTGGAATTCTTCGCAGCGATGTATCGTATGCGCCTTGTCTTTACACAACGCACAATTTTTGAATGGCGTGGTGGTGACGAAGACTTTAGAATCCTTCCTCGAAGAAATGTTGGGAATTCTCTTTGTTGGTCTTCTTTGCGGCGTGGGTGATACCCTTGGTGATGCTCTGCTGGTCTGGGTGTTTGTCCTACTGGTCGCGGTCGTCTCCAGCCTCCGTGATCGTTGGCGGAGGAATTCCATGAGACCGCTAATCTTTGGCGTCTCCTTATCCTTCAGCGTGCTGTCGTATGCCATCCTGGTCTGCTGCGCGAGCTTGGGCAGCAGAATAGACATTAGGAGATGATCCCAGTGTTCGACTGGAACGTTGAGTGTGGTCAGCGATCTCAAATGCTGCAAGACGTGACTCACGAAGTCGCGGAGTCCTGCAGCTGTCTCTTGTTCCACTGACGGCGTTTCGACCAAGAGATCGGTGTGGCGTGCAATAATCAGCCCTTCGTTGGCATAGGTATCTTGGAGCAGTTGCCAAGCCTTGCTATAATTCTGCTCTGTCGTTTCCATGGCTGCGATGACCTTCGCAGCTTCACCCGACAGAGCTGATCGCAAATAATGGAACTTTTGCACCTTACTGAAGGCATCTTGACTATCGATCATCGAGGTGAATTTGTCCTTGAACGATAGCCATTCTTCGAATTTACCACTGAAGTTTGGTAGATCAGCCTTCGGTAAGTTTACCTGCAGTTCTGTTGATGACAGTGCAGGGGTGCAGCAACTGGTTGCTGCGGCGACGTTGGGTGCTGGCGGCTGGGATTCGGTCAGCCATTTGTCCGTTGTAACACTGGTTTCGATGTATCGCTCTTCTACTTCGAAGCGCTCAGTTTCATGATCAGCGTCTTCTTGCAATACTTCGATCGCCGCCTGAATTTCTTCGAAGGTTAAGTAGACTTCTCTCATCCTTTGAAATCTACTCCTCAGCATCACGGGGTTAGGCTGTTGTTCATAACCTCCCAGATATCTCTCGAACATGGTGATGTGTGATTTTATTCCACTTCTCCGTCTGATGAGATGTTTAAGGCGTTGTGCATCTTCTGTTGCCATGATGTAGCGGTGGACTGTTACTTTCTACGGGGATATATTTGCCGCTGAACGTAGATTGTAGAAGTCACTCACTGACAATTTACAGTCGTTTGCACTTGCTGGTTTCGGATCACTTCACAGGATCCGGCTCGAAGGACCATAAAAATGTAGGTGCTGCACCGAAACGATTTTCGTTGGTCAGTGCTTCTCGCTACGCTGCACGACAAATTAATGTTGTGCAGCAGATTATTGTTGTTAGTAGACTCTAAGCGAAGATTTCCGTGGTTGTTTCGATATTTTCGTTTGAAAACCTAATTGAAACGCGGTTTAAACTAAATAGAAACTTTTCTCTTGCACGAAGAGCCACGTATGCCTTCACTTTATTGTCTCACTAACTGAGGCAACACCTTGACTCACTGTCACCTGGTGTTACCTTGATTCCGATCACTGACTCTATGTGATGGACTCTTTTTACGTTTGTATTCGCGTATATATACGATATACGGTCGGATACTGGTCTAAGATTCACACTGATTCTTTTACTGGTACCTCTGTACTGGTCTTTTGTACTAACTCCTTGTACTGTCGTTGTACTCAATATTTATACTTCTCAGAATGCCAAAGCAAAGCGGTAATTGGTGGATTGATTTTGGTGGGAGACGAAACTCCAAATCGTTCCGATTGGTGCGGGTGCAGCTACAACTTTTCCCAAATTTCGAAGGAAAGGGAAAGCGCGGTAGTGCGCTAGTGGGAGAAAGAGCCCAAAGGTCACGGGACCTGATTCGAGGCAGGTAGGCTACCACTAGGATTCGTGGTGTCCCGCGGTGTCGAAAACCATAAAGAAAGGCTTTATGGCAAGGTGTTAACGAGCACGAAACTAGGATGCTCTAATCCATGTCGTGAACAACCTTATTGTGTCACTGAGCGTTAATCCTCTCAATTGTGACAATGCTTGAATGTCGAACAATGTTCTCATTAGGAGAAAAGGAATACTTTGGCAATCTGATGAAGCAGAAAAATATAATAGCATGTATATTCCGTCGGATGGACGGAACAATAAGCTTTAATTTTTTCTTTTACCCTTTCTTTATTTGTTGCAACTCTCTGTGAAATTGCTTTTTACAAATATAATTTCAATATTACTAACTATATAAGATATGTTAATGTCTGTGCCAATATAGTATAGTATGTTTTTCTTACTTTACCCATCAGAAGATGATTAAAAATTTACATTATGAATTGGAAAAGGTTATTGTAATAAATAAAATATGTAATCTATTTTTATATGTATTTTCAGCAGCTGGAATTCACGATATAAATGTGTATTCTCTACATCCTGGTGTAGTAAAAACGGAATTGGCTCGACACGTAGATACAACTGTTTTTTGGGGTGCAAGGTTACTTTTCAGAATGTTTAGTCCATTTATAAAATCTGCGAAAGGAGGTGCTCAAACGACTATACACTGTGCTGTAGATGAAAATGCAGCGAAAGAAAGCGGTCTATATTATGAGTAAGTTGATTATATTTTACACACATTTATAAATATTTAGGTAAGGAGTAAAGTATACTATCTACTTTTCGTTCAAAATAAGAATAACCTAGTTTCGCTCATGGGACGTGCCTAAGGCAGTGATAGAACGTCCAACCTCCACTTAACCGCCTACGTTTTTCACCGTCTTACCCTCTGCTACGTTTTCTGTCTACTGTTCTGGGCGTGTTGCCTTATATACACGGTGACTTAATTAATTTCGAACACGCACGGCTAGCAACTGTGTTTTATAAAAATTGTTTTTCAATAGTTATATATTTTTTTATACACAAATCAATCCAGCTCGTCATTTCCTATAAAAAAATATTAAGCTATTTTGCAGAAAAACTTTTCGTTGAAGAGATATTTTCAATTTAAATATTTTACATTAAATATGGCAATTTCTTAACATTTAATCAATATTCATCAACTACTGCTCAAACATGTTGCGTCACAAAAATCTATACCAAGTTTATGGCTGAATACATAGCATTATGTACCCTAGCAATTAAGATGATTCTAACGAAATTAGGTACTTTACAATATGTCTTTTAAGAATTTAAATGATAATGATTTTGAATCGTTTCCTAAATATTGATATTTTTATTTTGTCCGGCTAAATTCATACAACTAGCCACTATTCATCTGTCATAAACCGCTGCGTTAACATGCACACAGTAGGTGCGCATACCTTTAGACCACCGGGTAAATTCTCTCCACTCTATGCACTGTTTACGTGACGTCGCTCTTGGGCCTAGCCGAAATGGCGCTACGACCAATCGCATGCGTCACATCGGTAGGTAGTAGTGGGGACTGCGCAGAACGGACGAAAATCGGTCCGAGAGCGAGGTTATTCTTATTTTGAACGAAGTGTATATTATTTGCTTCTGACATGTAGGTTATACGAATATACGGTACTGATCACCAAGTGACTCTTGTGTAATTACTTTTCTGTGGATACTTATAACTAAAAACTGAAATCGAACACGAAATTTTTTTATTCTTTATATTCGTCTTATTTTATCATCTAGAACCACTTCCTAAAATGTTTCCCATCTATTGCCGGTCGCCTAGTATATAGAGTGTTAAAAAAAGGAGTCTAAGACTTTAGGGGTTTATAATACTCTATGTTAGGCGTATCCTGTAACCGGATTTTTGGCATCGTCTTAAGAGGCCACGCGTTGCAAGCAACTTAGGTTCGTTTGGGATAGACAATAGATGTTTATTACGTTGCCTGCAGTCAAACTGCTAGGTCCAGACATGTCATAAATCCTGGAGTCTCCAAATGGCAAAGTGGAAAGTGGCTCTGAACCCTAGCTTTGTCATTGGCCCACTTAAGGATGACAAAGTCCAGGCCTCACAAGATTCCGTGAATTCATCTACTGAACACTTTGAAAGGGAAGGAGGTCTTAATGTACATCAGAAAGCTATCACTAATATCAAGAAATATTACTTGCTATTTAGGCGTGTGACTTTCTCCAGATTTCTGAAGAAGGTCACTTATGATATCGAACCCACGTAAATACAAAAGTAAACAAAGGATTCAGTTGGATCTACTTTGATTAAGTATTTTTACTGCCTTGGATGAGTACTATAAGACCCTAAAGTCTTAGGGCTGATTCCCCGCCAAATCGATTACTTTTTGACATCGACATCAGGGATTTTGTTCTACATGAAATATAATGTAGCACACGTAGAATTGGGGTGGGGGGCTAAAGTCATCATTTAGCTAGTTTCGAATTTATTTAAGGGGGTATTCCTCGTTAGGGGGGTCAAAAAATCGATTTTTTTTAAATTACATTTTCTTAAAGTTTAGTATCTCAAGAATATATTCCCAAAATCTTATAGCTCAATTCGACAAAATAACTGCGATTTCAAGGATATGATGGAAGGGCTAACCGTATATTGACATTGCGCGCTAAACTTCAAACGCGTTTTTCTCGAAACAGTGTTTTACAAATTGGCTTACATGATTTCTCAAAACTGGATTATCCGATCTCTTTCAAATTTGGCGTGCATATAAAATGGGAGTACCTTTATCGCCCGTACCAAAATAATATCAATATTTACAATAGTTTTTGTTTTGTAGCTTGAAGAAGTAAAAATGAAAAAAAAAAATAGATTTTGACTTCAAATAGCTGCCATTTTGACAGGACACGTTTTATATGTTTCATTTTGGTACGGGCTATAGCCACTCCCACACAGGTTAAGATTATCTTTAATTTTTTCATTTCAGATGAACACAATCGCTTGAATGATGTAAGCCATCCAAAATGACACATTACAGGAAACATTTAATAACATGATTAAAGTTAAAGATAAATGAATAAAAATTACATAGTATCTTTTTGAAATAATACACCAACCTGTATACAAAACAATAAGTTTCTTGGACTATAACAATTCGATAAATTTCTCTCCTAAAGATCACCAAAAAACGACGATTCTAGTGAAGAATACCTCCTTAAAAAATGCGGACCTTTAAATTTAGCAATTTTTGCCCATTTTTATAAAAAGGGACTGTGCTTATCAATTTTTATCTCAGAAACTATTGGTTGAATTGAGCTCATTTTTTTTGTTTCAATCTAGAAGGATTGTCTTACTGTAATAATATTCTTGTTGTTTGAAAAATTGATTTTATAATACTGTAGGATCGGGGCCTCCATACCCGAATCGCTAATAGGAATACCAACGAGGAAAAATAGAGGGACTGTTATTGGCGTATTAGATCCTTAGATCCTTTTTTTTTTTTAACACTCTGTATGTATACGTTACATGACATTTCATCAAAGCATGACAAGAAATGTAATTATTTATGGGATTACCTATATTTAGTTTACACCACAAATGAAAAGTGAATTTAATGTCTCAAAGCTATCGCACCTGATTTTGGTACCAATATCTGAAGATTGAGCGTGTGAGTGCTGTATGCGTGTGGTATGTGAGTAAAAATGTGCGTTAATTTTGAAAACATGAATGTTTTCATCTGCTACAACCGTTAGCGCAGTGAGTGGAAGATTGACGTCTCCGATCTGGAATGGTACATCACTTTTCATATTTCCGGCAAATAACAAAATCTTATGTACATACATATACACGTATGCTTATACATTTCATGATTCTAAACCTTTTATTCAATACTACAACATATTTGTACTTTAGGAACTGCAGAGTGGTAAGATCCTCGCAAAATACTTATAATCCAGAATTAGCAAAGCAATTATGGAAACGTAGCTGCGAATTGCTTTCTTTACCACCTGAGGCGGAACTTGAAGAATTATTAGAAGCCATGAATAACGAAGAAGTTGGATCATAAGGAAAAGCATTTATTGCAAATTCTTCATGAAATGTATGACAATAACTGAAGAAATGATTTAATAATCACGCAATTAGTCAAGTCAATTATTCAATGTGCATTTGAAATTTCAGATATCTGAAGGTCTAACAAGAATATTACAAAATCTATCATTTTGCTGCGATCTTCCTGCGAACAACCATCAAAGTTCAAAAATCTATGATGACTGCATTAGAGAAAATGTACTCTAAACCGGTTACAAAAAACATGCTTCCGTTAAAAAAAGCAAAGGACACTTTCAAATTTCCGAAGAAACTCCACCTGGAAAGATTTCGCTTGATCCAGCTAATGACCTTTTTAAAACCATGTAATTTTAGTTTAACCTATTTGTCTTTACAGGTAACAATATTAATGTAATTCATGGTGATAATTTTAGATGTTCGACCTATCGCGCTGGTGTTGTTCATTTGTGTTAAAAAGACAAAAAAAAAGGAAACGAAAAGACTAAATTTATTTACACTTCAGTCTAAAGTTGTAACGAAAATTGCAATACATTTTTTATTTCACTTTTACGTTAAAGGATTATATTAAATTGATTAAACTGAAACTAATGGTATTTTTACGAATCTTTTTACAAGAAATCTGTGCGCTAAGTTGAACTGACATTTTTACCATGAATAAAGCACTTTATAAGCTTTTAAGAACAATTTTGGTTTTTATATCTACATTTACTTATAATAATGGGAAAACACGTATTTAAAGTTTCTTACGATTATTTTTTTGCGATAACTTTACTAATTTTTATGTTATTCTTAACTGGGGAATTCAGGCTTATAATATTATAAGAGTTCAAAAACACAAAATATGTTTTTTTATGTCAATTTATTTCGTAATAATGTAGGACCCAATGAAAGATATGAAAGACCCAACGGGAATCGAACCCACGACCTTCGGCTGGCAAACTAGGACTTTTTTTGTAACAGGCGTTTATTATGCCAAATAAATAATACATACAGGGCGGTATGTAAGATACTCGAAAATTAAGGCACGGTAATATGTTTTGAACGCAGGTGTACAGGGTGAGGCACCTAAAACAGACCACCTGAATATCTCGGCTATTATTGCTGATAGAAAAAAATGTGTCAGACTAGACTTTCTTGATACAATTCTATGATACAATTTATATTTATATATCGCTCACATAAAGTGAATTATTTTCCGTTGCAGTTGACCTTCAGTGACATGATCTTGCACGAATAGGTCATTGTACGTATCTTAAACGCTCTAATAAATGGTATGTAAAAGAACCCGACTAGAGTTTCAGTTAGGCATGCCTAAAGACGAATGTGGGCCTAACACGGAAACGATTAGGCACATCTAAATGCTGCAAGCCTAATCGTTACCGCATTAGGTCCTAATTCGAAAGGAATGATGCATGCCTAAGCTGGGCATTCCTAACACTTGTAATACATGGCCCAAATGTGGGTGGTCGAGCGCACGCTTAAGTTAGGCATTCCTAACAGTTGCCACACGTGGTCCAAATTGGGGTGGCCAAGCGCACACTTAAGTTGGGCATTCCTAACAGTTGCCATACGTGGCTGAAATGGGGATGGCCGAGCACACACTTAAATTAGGTGGAGTGGGGCTCTCAAACTTATATGTAGAAATATTTACAAACATCTCAGTGTCGGATGTACGCTTGCGTGTAGAGGTTAGGTCACCATAAGAGAGCTTTCAACAAGATAAAAGTTTTTACAATTTAATCCATACAATGTCTTGATGAGGTATTCCTCATGAGATTTCATTAATGTCTCCTAATGACAGCCTAATAAAGCTATTCTAATATGGACCTAATGCGGTTGGCCTCATTGGATAGTCATTGGGAAAGCCTAATGCGGCCCTAACGCGGCTTTCCCAATTAAGCGGTCGTGAATATTCCGCGTTACATACCGCATGCGGGCCTAATAGGCAAATTAGGCTAGCTCAATGCGGACCTAATATCTGTCTAACTAAAATTTTAGCCGGGAATATATCATTCCATTTAAAAAAACAAAGTTGACCTTCATATGACTTCTACGCTTTCACCTATCAAAAAGCTATTTACATCAAATTATATACCCCTCGATACCATACAAGTTTGGTCTGATACATTTTTTTCTATCACCACTAAAAGCCAAGATATTTAGAAGGCTTGTTTTAGATGCCACACCTTGTATATTTTTGCCGAGGTGCTCAGTACAACGGTTATCGACCTAATGCATTTGCCCACGTTCCTTTTCCAATTTCTCCCTCGGCTAGGACAGTACTTCCGGGGACTGTTTTTAAGGGGCCAGTTGAAGGTGGTGGTGATATATAGACACCAGACGTTGCGACGTTGCCTAGCGTGTGCCTGCGTCTTAGGCCTTAGCTGCATAGCTTAAACGCGTCACATGACATCTTACCTTACCTTGAGCACCACTATTACGTTGGCTTCTACAATAAAACAAAGGAGACACACATCCATAAATACACGAATCGGCATGCCTGCTGCAACCCAGACTCAGGTTAATATTGGAATTAATAACGCTCTCTTATATTGCACATGCCTTCTGCCTCCGTGGCAATTGAGAATAAATGCACTACCATGTGATCAATTTCTGCGATACATTTTTCAGCCGGTCGCGAGATTCCCTGTAGTGTCTCGTCGATGTAGCAATTGTGTTTTCGACGTGTGAGGTCCATTTAAGATAGTGGTTCCCAAACTTATTATACCCACGGACTCCTTCTCATAGCAAAAATCTGACCATGAACCCCCAAGTGAAATAACTCTACACAACTGCATAATAGAAAAATTACAACTTTAACTTTGATGTCTTGAATGGTGAATGGTGACGTAAAGTAAAATATAAATAAAACATTTTGATATTTAAAGTAGTATTTATTGAAATTATAACTTTTATTTTAAAATACAAAAACACATTATTTTTCAATTAGGTGGGTGAACCTGATGGGATGGTATGAGATTATTTATGTTCGGCTCGATGTTCGTAAGTCTCCACGAGCACTAATTTGCAGTCGGTTTCTTTTTTTCGTGATCAGGCTCGTAACTGCACTGAACCCACGTTCTATTAAATAGGAAGACGGGAAAGCCATCAACAGCTTCTGTACAGTGGCCCATAATGCAAGATATAAAATTGGTATCTGTTTTTGTAACCAGAATTTGTGGTATCCTTGTTTAAACATTGGTTTCAGCTCCTCATTTGTAGATAATTCAATAAGTTGCTCCTGTATTAGTATGGATTCATCTGAGTTTGTGGGTCTACTTGCAAAAGGGTCCAACACCCAATAGGGCAGAGCTGCTTAACTACTTGCTCACGAGCATATTTCCCTTCCCGAGGTTCCCCCACTATGCGACTGAGATGATCTCGCTCGAGTTGAGGACGCGAGGAGTCCTCCCACCACAACTCCAGCGATAGTTTTTTGGTACGAAATGACTGGTACGAACACGCAGAATGTGTAACATAAACAAAAGGCAGTCGCTGGAGTTGTGGTCGGAGGACTCCTTCTCGCGTCCTCCCACCGCGCCGCAACTCGAGCGAGATCATCGCAGTCGCATAGTGGGGGAACCTCGGGAGCGGAAATTTGCTCATGAGCAAGAAGCAGCTCTGCAATAGGGGATGCCCAAGTGAAGAATGTCTTCAAATCTTTGGCTGAGGTCAGAATGAAGAGCCATTAAGTGTTGACAATAAGCAAACAAATCTTCATCTCGTTCTTGCAATTTTGAAAAATTTGGAAACTGAGAGCATTCTCCTCTCCTCAAGTTTTGTTTGTACAGAAAAAGTTTTGCAACAAACGCAGATATTATACTTTTAGTTTTGATAAAATTTAATTGATCACCTTGTAACTTCAAATTGGTTTTGTTAAATTTGGCAAATAAGTCAGTCATATAAGCTATGTCATTGTTTGAATTAATTAAATTGAGCCGCAAATCATTGTCTTTGCTTTCCAGGAATTCCAACACTGAATCAAAGAGTGCATAAAATCAATCCAAACATGCACCTTTAGATAACCAACGAACTTCCGTGTTAAGTAGTAAACGATTATAATCTTCATCATTCCAAACAAAGTTGAGCAAATAATCTCTCATTTAAGGCATTCCTTTTGATTTTATTAACTGCTGTAATGACATAATCTAGTGAGCCATGCAAGCGTTCACTAAGATTTTTGGTGACTAAATGTTGTCGATGAATGACACAATGTACAGATAATATATTCGGTGTAACTTGTTTTGCTGGAGCTACCATTGTTGGAGCACCGTCAGTAGCAACGGAGAGGATATTACTCGAGGGTATATCTTTCGCATCGAAACATTTTTTTAATTCATTAAATATTGTTTCACCTTTCGTATCAATTTCCAAACATTTGGCAAATAACAATTCTTGGGAAATTTTTTCTTTTTTTACAAATTTCACATAAGCTAAAAGTAAAGCTTTGTTTCCTGGTAACGTTGACTCGTCAAGCTGTATAGAGAATTGAGATGTTTTTAAGTATTCACATAAAGAATTTTCTACGTCCTGAGCCATTTCGACAATCCTTCTTTGTACTGTATTATTATTATTACCTCACTTCCAGCTGGTAGAATAAGTTCTTCACCAATGGTGTGCGGCTTTCCGGACATTGCAATCAGTAAAGAAATGGTCTAAGAAGCACGCAGTCCATCGTACTCGCTTAGATGTTGTCGCGAAGAGTTGTTGCTATGACGGTGTTTCCAAATATTTTTCTTTGACTGTTTTAAAAAAAGTTAAATCTTTGTTGCTATGAACTTTTGTCAAATGTTCCTTTAGCTTAGAAGGTTTCATTGATTCGTTTGACAAAGTTTTATTGCATAGAAGGCATATAGGTAAAGTACTATTTCTTGGTAACGGAATAAAGCCATATTTTAAATATTCAACACTATGTGGGCGACGGGAGAATAAATACACGCGTGGTTATGCTTGGAAGTCTTTATTCCGAAAACGAGGTGAAACGTCTTGTGTCGTTAG